GAAAAAAGGAAAGAAAATCCTGAAACACAGGAAATACGAGCATTTTGCTCTATGCTGTGGAGAAGTTCAAAAGACAGGCAGGGAGATGAGAGATAATGTGAGCGCGGAGAGCGGTAGAGAAGTCCGAGAAGAGAGATAGCAGATCAACGTGGCGACGCAGACAAGATATCGAACGGTGGGCGGACCATGTTAAGTTTGGTGGAGTCTGTTAGAAGTCCATGGCGCCTAGGGTCCTAGTGACGCGTTTCGATGTAGAAAGGTGGCGCTACCTTTGCACTTGCGTACCCAGCACTTCTAGCCATGGTAAGGGCTTCTTAGGTGGGTCTGAGCCCGAACTTTGCCTTTAACTAAACACCTAGAGTGATTCTACCTACGGCTTTGTTGTAAAAAGGCTCCATTAGTTTGCTTGTGAGCGACTGAGACGATGAGTTTTTGGTGCTGTGTAAAAGAGAATCAGCGTCAGCGTCCTCCCGGAGCACAGCGGGAAAACAACTCAGCATCGTGTCTCTACTGATGAGGGCCAAATGTCCAACATGGTTTATGGTTACGGCACTGAGGCAATGTGAACCACCCCTAGAGCAAAAATAAGCCCAACAAATCTACCGTCAGAACTCCAATCTTACACAGCATGCGTGCCTCTTGTGGAAATGACACAACACCCATCCTCAGCACTTTCAAACGGCATCTATGCAGTTTTCAAGAATGACGGTGGGTGATTCGCTCACATTTGAATAAGCTTCTCCGCTCCCTCTCGTTCCATAACTAGGACATTTACTGATAGGGCCAAAATAATCCAATCATTTGCAATCAGACGGTTTGCAATGCAGTGCTTTCAATGGAATATCTCCATTCACTCTTGGGAATGCATTCTATGCAGGCATTTTCAGCGCCGAAAAAAGACTTTATATGTAAAACCTTTTATCAACACAAACAATTACATTTCACAACAGACAACAGTATTGAGGAGACCATCCCGGATATCATTACCTGCTTGGAACAGGAGAATACGTTTCAGACCACTTCGTAATGAAAACAAAACAAAGGGGAACGCATAATGACTAGCAAAATAAAAACCTTCAGTCGTCATCTCTTCGTCGTTTTCTGCTGCGACTATGATCTGAATAGGGATAACGTTAAAAACGTTACAAAAACAACTGACAAGAATAGATTTACCTTCTACTTTAATCGAGAAATCAAACTCTTGATCGGCTCCCAAGTACGAGTCACAAATAAAGTACAGCTTGTATTCGAATCGACCAGAATTTTGCGCGACAAAGTCTAGTTGCATTTTTGCCTTCTCGTTGATGGTCAACCTTAATGAAACGATAAAATCTGAAGTACAACAGTGCAAATCTATTGATCTTACCGCTTGATGGAGTAAAGTGCATTTGCAGCTGGATCTCCTACAACAAGCCACCATCCTTCCTCTTTTCGCTTCTGAGGGAAAAGTGGTGCCACGACAGGAGGTGCAAGACCATTTATGTGATTTTCTCGTTCCATGGATACGTTCACCAGTAGTGTATCACCACTATAACTCCAAGTATTAGCTAAACTCTAGGAAGAAAACGAAAACAATAACGGCGTACATTGTAACGGTGTCGTTCTCCAACTCATGTTCAACTTCAATTGACGGATAGTTATTACAGAATTTCGCAACATCAGCCAATTGCACGTCTTCCATTCGCAATATATCACGACGATCATCATCATCCAATTCCAATAATTCGAATACTGACTCCACTTTCTGGAAAAAAAAAATAGATAAAGTTACTTAGTTTTCTATGACTTTACTTCATTAATACAAAGACCCGTCCAAGAATAAAAACGCTGGTACCTTTTGTTTTGCTCTTTCCAAAAGCCCTGCATTGCAATGTGGTAGTTGTTTCAGGTATGACTCATTACTGTACATCGCTTGAGTTAACACCATTTAATACTCCATAGCATACAAGCTGGTGATTATTCTCAACCGTTACCTGGACGAAGAAAAAGTTTCTTTCTTAATTACCTCATTTTCTACGCTTGATGTTAATAACATTACAGTATAGTAAACAGACCTTGACAGAACATCAACGCAAGCTTGCACGAGACGAATTGCTTTCAGCACTATCATATCTGTGTCCTTACTGAGCTCAGCTGACAGTTGGATTCGAGAAAGATGGGCATGAATCAGCAAGTTTACCTAAAAAGTTTCTTTTCGGGAATGCGACATCCTTCTTCTTGATCATTGTATGCCAATGCCAGATAAGAAAATAATGAAATTGGGGACCTGGTCAATAATTATCACTCAAAACTTGGCAATGAATGATGTACAAGAGTGAAATGCAACTTATCACGCAAGAAAATTCATGAACCGAAAACCCACCTTTACATGCGGATCAGAAAACTTCTGATTCTTCAGTTGTCCCGGTAGCCGAGCAGCAAGCTGCTTCATCACTACGTCTTCCCGATGTCTCATGGGTATTGAGGCAAACTCACTAGCATTCGCAATGATTTCGATAAGTGCTCGCAGCTTGGTTTTGGCTTGCAGTGACATTGAGAAGAGCTCTGTAATATGCGATCGTAAACGCAGCACTTCCCAAAGCATTGTTCCATCCCCTATGATAGATCAACGAAACGCTACCTATAGTAGTGTAAGAAATGTAGTAGTATGCAGCTATCATTCCCAAATTCAATGGCAGGGTATCCATATCATCTTTGATTGCGATACACTGAAAAATAAGTACAATATCTATCTGCCGAAAAATGTTCATTAATATCTTATCACCTTGCTGTTCTCCAAATCCTTCAGTGTCAACTCAACCAGCTCCGACAAGGCGTCTGATAAGTGACGATGCGAAATCTCTTGGAGATTGTAATAATTTGGATTTTGGGTCATGCGACGGTACAGGAAGGTCCATGTAAGGTACTGAAAATAACCACAAGGAGTATGATGCAATGAATAAAACACATTTTGCAAACTATTAGCACGCGGAGGGACTCGAACCCCCATTTCCGGATCCGGAGTCCGGCGCCTTCTCCATTAGGCCACGCGTGCACATTCGTGATCGATATGATTTGCGAATCAAATTCCTTCAGAACTATAGGCAAATGGAGATCACTTATATCACAGCGTAGCGAGGAAAGATCATACACAGGATCTCACCAACATCAATCTAGCAAATTTCAGCAAAGGTATGGAAAGGTTCTGCCGACTTACATCAATCGCGTCCTGCTTGTTCTCAATAGTTTTGGTAACAATCTCTGCATTGAAATGATCATGTAGGCAGTGGTCGAGATGTGATTCAACTGGTAGCGGTTCGTACAAGAATTTCTTGAAGAAATCCTTCTTTGACGATTGACACATCAACACGCATTTTGCTGTAATTATATATAGTTACTTTGCAATCCAGGCAAACACAATTTCAAACATTAACAACATATTTTCTTTTAGTAAAACCATACTTAATGTTCAACTTCTGCAAAAAGAGGGAAAAGAGTTTTTTCTCAATTCCTGCACAAAAACCTCGGCGCTGATAGCAAGCACGTGAAAATGAATAATGCGCTCATTAATCACTTTAAACCCTCTCGATGAGGGAGCGCAGTACACAAGCATTACTATTATCATAACTAAGAACAATAAATTTCACGGTCAAGGGTTTTCTGATGAGTTATCGATAATGCACATCAACAACAAACGACACAACAATAACATTCCTTATCGTACGATGATCTAGGAAAGTTCGAGCGTTGTTACTGCATTAAAATTTTGCAGACATTCCTAAAATGTGATGAGCTGCTCCTTACAGCGGATGACTAGTGTTTACAAGAAGCTCATGGAGGAAGTTAATGAAGTTACTTTGCTCATTTTGTACTACACTTCTCAACCTGGTCCTGGGTAGGAGCCTCGTTGTAATCAACAATCACATTTCAGTTCACCTCGTGAGAATATGAGCCGGACAGCGTCCCTTTAGGCATTGTTAAAAAACGAAATTAAAAAGATGCTTCTTTCTGTACATTGAAAG